AATAGCAACAACAACATATCACAATCATACGACCCCTGGCCAGCAACAGATCACAATTGCCGGCAACCGTTTATCAACAAGCAACACACAATCTTCCATCTTAGTCAACAATAAATCAGAAATTTCATCAACAACATCAAGGGACATAATCCAATAGATTCAAGGGACGAAATATAAAAGGGCAATCAAGTTACCTAACCAAAGGAGCACCCTAATTTCTGCTTTATCCATGAAGCGATGAAGCATTCAAATTAGAGTTATCTACAATTAGGATGGGACACACATCTTTAAAGTTCAAAGAATGTATGCATTTAAAGGGACAATTCATCAACTACTTGGATCAAAATCAGAAGAATAATCCATAATTAAGGCCAAAACCGATATGAATTCATCAAAAAAAGCCAAACCCGAAACTAATTCATAAAAAAAGGTTAAAACTTGTGATTTTATCAATTTATATGCATGACATGTACTACTCCGTATATGTTACGAGTAAAGTTAATTAAAAAAATTCACAAAATTCATCATCATTCCTCAACAAAAACCGAAATTCATCAACAAAAACCTCACTTCATTCATCAACAGAAAACATAAATTTCAACAACATTCATCAACAAAAACTGCAAACTTCATCAAAATTAAGCAAATAATTTATGAATCCATCAGGGGTTTTTTTCATCCAAAAACTTCTCAAACTGTATTACCTCAACGGACAAACCGGAGCAATTCACAGTGAGAAGCTGTACGATGAAAGTGAGTCCCTCCATCATATGGATTATCCTAGTGTAACTATTTACGGCCAAGGGACTCAACGCATTATGATATCTATAGCACACAACATGTCTGCTCAAAGAGGTTCATTGGGAAGAACAACAGCAACATCAATAGTAGCTATAGAGCAGAACAACAGCAGGGGCATAACAGCAGGGGCATAGCAGCAGAACAAAAAAATAGATTGTCAAACAAGCACTTGTTTCCTTCATCTAAGAGAGTCTCTTTCTTTTCCTTTGTTTCCTTCAGCTTTTGCTTCTTTGTTAGGTAGTTTCCAACCATATATAAATGGAAAGCAAAGGTAAGAACCTCTTGACAGAGTATATCCCAAGCAACATTAATCAAGGGATATAATCAAGGAACATATTCCAAGCAACATTAAACAATGGACATAATTAAGGGACATATTCCAAATAACATTAATCAAGGGACATTAAAAAGGAACATAATCCAAGAAACTCAGGCACATATCACAGACGCACCAACATCAATAGCAACAACAACATATCACAATCATACATCCCCTGGCCAGCAACAGATCACAGTTGTTGGCGACCATTTATCAACAAGCAACACACAATCCTCCATCTCAGTCAACAATAAATCAGAAATTTCATCAACAACATCAAGGGACATAATCCAATAAATTTGAGGGACGACATATACAAGGGCAATCAAGTTACCTAACCAAAGGAGAACCCTAATTTTTGCTTCATCCATGAAGCGATGAAGCATTCAAATTAGAGTTATCTACAATTAGGATGGGACACATATCTTTAACATTCAAAGAATGTATGCATTTAAAGGGACAATTCATCAACTACTTGGATCAAAATCAAAAGAATAATCCATAATCAACCACTTGGATCAAAATCAGAAGAATAATTCATAATTAAAAATGAATTCATCAAAAGAAGATAAACCCGAAACCAATTCATTAAAAAAAGGTTAAAACTTGTGATTTTATCAATTTATATGCATGACATGTACTACTCCGTATATGTTACGAGTAAAGTTAATTAAAAAATTTGCAAAATTCATCATCATTCCTCAACAAAAACCGAAATTCATCAACAAAAACCTCACTTCATGCGTAACAACAGCAACACAAGCTCAGCATAGGCAAAGGCAGAGACTCAACATGCGCAATAACAGCAACACAAGCTCAGCATAGGTAGCAACAATAAAAGAGGCTGACCAAAGGAATCAACATCAACAATGGTTGACTACATGAAGCAATAATAACACAGGCTACGCATAGGAAGCAACAACAACATAGGCTGAGGGACAGCAGCACAACCTAACCACAGGAATCAACTGCAACACAAGCTGACCATAGGAACCGACAACAACACTGGCGCACAGGAAGCAATAACAACACAGGCTAGGCATAGGAAGCAACAACAACATAGGCTGAGCAAAGGAACCAACGACAACACAGGCTAATCACATGAAGCATTATCAACACATGGTAACCATAGGAAGTAACATTACCACACCCTGACCATAGGCATTCACAACAACATAGGCTGACCATTAGAACCAACATCAACATAGGCTGACCATAGGAACCACAACACAGGATGAGCATATGAAACAAAAACAACAACACAGAATGAGCATATTAAACAAAAACAACACAGGCTGAGCAGAGTAACAAACAGCTACACAGGGTGGGCAAAGGAATCAACAATAACGCAAGCTACACATAGTAAGCAACAACCACCACACAACATCAATGAACACCAACACAAATATCATCAAAATCCATCCTGGCCAGCAACTGAAGTTACTGGCATACAGTCACAACCACAAACAAATCCACCAACCTAAACATGCTGCTATTTATTAAAAAAAAATAAAAAAAAATAAACGAAATGATAAATAAATTAGGGTTTCACAGAGACATTTACCCATCAGCTATAGTTACTGGATCTAGCGCTTAAGAAGCGAATCAGGGGGGGACTCAAGATTCACATCATCTTCATCATCGCATAAGATTTTTGCCCCAACTCCATGAATTCTTCCGAGGGTTAGATAAGAAACCCTACGAACAAATGGAAGGTGTAATGGGAAAACATTCATGGCCGACATCGAGGGACTCAAACACAGATCTAGGGTTTCTGATTTGCGAAAAATCGATTTTAGGAAAATCGAACCCAGAAAAACGAAGAAGAACAAGATGAATAGAAATCAATTTTAGGAAAATCGAACCCAGAAAAACGAAGAAGAAGAAGATGAATAGAAAACCGATTATAGGAAAATCGAACCCAGAAAAACAAAGAAGAAGAAGATGAATAGAAAATTGATTTTAGGAAAATCGAACCTAGAAACTAAAGAAGAAGAAGAAGATGAATAGATGGTGGATGGAAGAAGACAGTGAGAGTGAGGAACAACAAAATGGGGGGAAAAAGATGATGTTGAGGAGAGAGGAGAGAGAAGAGAGAGATAAAACGAGAGACTGAGGAATTGAAACAGCAGAAAGAAAGAAGAGGGGAAATGGAAAGGAGGAAAAAAGGGCGGCTTTTTTTTTTATTACAATTGGCACCGGTTTGAACCGGTGCCATTTCAAGAAATTAGCACCGGTTTGGTTTGAACCGGTGCCATTGCTCTTACACTAAATCCCGCCTTGTTTTTTTCCCACCGGTTTAAAAGAACCGGTGCTAATTTCTCGGTGCTAATTTGTGTTTTTCTACTAGTGACATGATTGGTCTAAAATAAAAAAATGAAAAATAAAAAAAGAGAAAAAAAAACTAGAAACCCAACCCCCCAAACCACCAACCACGATCCATTCCACCACCTAAACCATTATCCTACACCACATCAACCCCTAACCTACACCGCAACTCCACCACCAACATTACACAACCAACAACCCCCTCTCCACCACCGCAACCCAGATGCAACCCCTCTCTCACCGCACCAACCCAGACGCAACCCCTCACTCACTCACCCACCAACCCATGCAACCACTCACTCACCCAGACGCAACCCTTCACCAACTAACCCAGACGCAACCCTTCAATCACCGCACCAACCGCGACAACCTCCAATTCCGCCACCAACAACCCAAATTCTGTAAACCCTGCTCGTTGCTTGACGCCGCAACAACAGCAACAACACAACTTCATAAATCTAGTCACCCAATTGCTCCTCCCACATCGCTAGCAACGCTCACACAGTCAACAATTGCTCCAACAATTCAACCACCAATTCAAACCGATTCAAACAATTTGTCGGAACGAGGGGTTGGTTTGGGGGCGGGAATGGGCCGACTAAGGTAGTTTCGGGGGTTAGGAGGGGCCAGCCGACCAATTTTGGGGGTTAGGGGAGGCGGCCGGCCGTTTGCCGGTGGGCTGGGGGTTTTGTCTTGGGTTGTACGGTAAGGAGAGTGGTGGCTGTTAGGTTTTTTCTTTTTTTTTTTTTAAATTTTGGACCAATCACGTGTTGACACGTGTCTGGTAACTTGTTATAACAAGTCGTTGACTTAGTGTTGACCGGTTGGGAACATTAGAGGCAAACACATAGCATAGTTGGGATTATTAGATAATAAACCTTAGTTAGGATTATTAAAAGTAAATCGTTCATAAATGGGATTATTAAAGTGTATTTTTCCTATATTATAATACCATTGATTAATTGTATGGCCATCACATATATTTATGTAAGAACACGTCTATACAAAGGCATCTATTAACTCACTCAAGAACCCATTAATTGTATGTATGCATGTGAATGTTAATATATATACTTTGTATGTTATTAGAATGAAGAACAGTCTAACAAATTTCACTAAAACTAAACAAGGATCTATCTTTAATCTTTCCCAATTAAAGAAAGCAAGTTGATTGGTCAACTACGTTGATTTGATTTTCACTTTACTCAAAGGTACCAAAAATATGGCAATTAAAGAAATTCCCCTCAACAAAGAAAGGGAATAATTAAAATAAATAATAAAATGTACACATAAAATTGATGCGAAAGTATAATGCAATAACTTTGGCTTGTCTGTTTACAAGTATCTTTAAAAATAAAATTGATACGAAAGTATAATGCAATAATGCCATAAAAAAAGAAGTAGCAAATTTTGCATTGAAAGAGAACATTTTTTTTTTCTTTTTATTGACATTTATATGATTCCACTCCAAAATAGATAAAAATAAATTTGTAAAAATAAAAATGTTATCATACTCGACAAAAAAGTTCCTCCTACGAGAAGATAATAATGGTTAATTTTGATGTTTAAGTTGAGAATAGAAATCCTTGATGAAATCTTCAGCGGCCTGATCCACATGCTCGTCATCGTGATCCTTGTTTTGTATCAAAAACGGTGAGTCCGTTATCCTTAGAGGCTGGACCGTAGGGCTCTGTCCAAACCCTACACCCGGCAAAGCCGGTGAAGGAGCCGAAACACCACCAGCAGCTTTATCATTACGTAATATCATTTCAAGTACATTGTTAACGTCCTCTATATTATAATTTTGACCATCTTCCAAGGGAAAAGGGGAGGGCATGTAATAGTGATCATTATTTTGGTGGTGATGGTTCTTTCTTTTGTTGGTGAAGTAGCGATGGTATAAAGGTGTGTTGCTACAACTAAACTCGTACTCCCGGGCGTTGTTGGTGAGGTTAGATGACCCACCAACGCCGTATTGAGTGGAGAAGAGGTGGTTGTTGTTGTGGAACATAAGGTTTCCTAGGGCTTTTTTACCGGCGATTTTGCCACGCTTCATCATAAAGTTGAGGTCCATGACTATTTTTTTCTTGCATAGACCTTTCTTTATCATGAAAATGGCCACCCTTACTATTTTCCATACCTTTCTTGAAATGCCTTCTAATTTAGGCTCCATTTCTAATACTTATGTTTTTTTTTAGTGTTTAGAATTGTAGGAGAGAAAAGTGAATTGAGAAGACAAGACTTGTTATGATGAGAAAGGGATGCAAATTGAAAGGAGTATATATAGAAGGAAAAAGTTGATTAGGAAATGTTAAAGTATCATTGAGTACTTTTGATTGTGGGAGGGTGAGTAGAAGCTTCAATTTTCTTAACTTGTACCACTTCTACTTTTTCTACCTTTATTGAATAATACTAGTTATTAAGGGCACGTTTAATGGAATGACTTGAGTTGTAATAATGCAAAGTGGTTTATTTGAGACATGTTTGAACTTTAAACGTGTTGAATTTCCTAAGCTAGCTAGTTAGGCCATAACACTTTTTTTGGTTAGCTAAATTGGTACAAATAGTACAATTTCTTACATCTTTTTTGGTATGGAACTTCATGTATCTAGCTAGTAAGCTAAAACAATGGAATATGCATGATTATTTGTATGTAGTCACTTCTAGCTAGTACCCTCAGGGCTAAAAAGATATTTTTTTTAATAGCCATATAACTTAAGTGAGATATTAATACCCAATTATAAAGTTTAATTAGAAACAAAAATCATAGGTTCGTTCATCCTGAGGAATTGTTATTTCTTATTTTAAGCCTAGCAAGACAACGTACCCTTCAATTCACTTGCAGCGAAATTCAAAAGGTGTAGACACCTAGTTGTGTCTCCCGAGCACAAACCTAATGATGGGTGACTGACAAGCGCACTTTAGGGCGCGCTTTAGAGCATATTTTAGGATGAATTTGGATGTATTTGGGGCCGTTTTGGCCGATTATTGCCTTGTTATGCTTACGTCCCCCATATTACGTGCTTCACGGGTTTTCGGTTTGTTTTTGATGTGTTTTCAGGTAATATCAACCGAGTTTAGTCGGATCCCGAGCCCTTGATGCGTAACCGAGCTAGCCTTGACCGAAGTCCGAGGAGCTAGGGAAGTTCAAGTGCCGTGCATTGATTACATAGCACAGGCAGCACGGCCGTTTTACCATAGGCACACCCGTGCTGGCCTATGAGCAAGCAGCCCCAGACTAGGCAGCACGGCCGTGCAAGCCAATAGCACGAGGAATCATTTAGGAATTAACCCCACTTTTTTAAATTGTTTTCACCTACCTTACCCATTGCCAATACATTGCAACCCTTTAAGACCCTTAGACTTTAGAGGTGTTCGGTTCTCAAACGGTGGAGGGAGATACCTTTCAACCCTATGGAAAGATTATGCGTAATCGAGATGTCGGGATACCTTTTGTTATTTTCTCAAAACATCACTTTTTCCGGTTCCTTCGAGGAATCACGAGGGGCCAATTAGGGTGGTGATTTGAAGCAAAAGGGGAGGACGTGGCCGGTTTGGTTGGGTTTAGAGGGAAGCATGACTTCTTTGTTCTCTATGCTTGGTTTAGGTCTTGTTCGCATTTTGATCAACGATATCTTGGATTGTGTGTCTCGTTGCTTGTTTGAGTGAGTTTTCATTCCGTGCATGGTTGTTCTAAGTAGGATCCATTGATTTCATTCCGTGCTTAATTTGATTTGTACGCAATGGCATAGTTTATTTGATCTTGTGTGTGTTTCCCTTGGTTTTTGCTCGAGGACTAGCAAAAGGGTAGCTTGGGGGGTTTTGACAAGCGCACTTTAGGGCGCGCTTTAGAGCATATTTTAGGATGATTTTGGATGTATTTGGGGCCGTTTTGGCCGATTATTGCCTTGTTATGCTTACGTCCCCCATATTACGTGCTTCACGGGTTTTCGGTTTGTTTTTGATGTGTTTTCAGGTAATATCAACCGAGTTTAGTCGGATCCCGAGCCCTTGATGCGTAACCGAGCTAGCCTTGACCGAAGTCCGAGGAGCTAGGGAAGTTCAAGTGCTGTGCATTGATTACATAGCACAGGCAGCACGGCCGTGTTACCATAGGCACACCCGTGCTGGCCTATGAGCAAGCAGCCCCAGACTAGGCAGCACGGCCGTGCAAGCCAATAGCACGGCCGTGTCAGTATCCACGCACCAGCACGGCCGTGCAGGCCATTAACACGGCCGTGCCAGATGTTGCCCGTGCCCGTGTCAGCTTCAGTATGAGCCCCGTGCTAGAGCATATTCAGCACGGCCGTGTCATTTTCAGCACGGCCGTGCCAGGCATCTACACGGCCGTGCCAAATTGAAGAAGAAATCCGGTTTAGCTACTGACAAGCTAGCACGGCCGTGCCAAGTATAGCACGGCCGTGCTGATCCAGGGTTAACCGCGCACTTGACTTCTCCGAATTAGAAGGCGTATATAAGGCCCGATTTTAAGGGGCGTTTTTAGACAGTTTTAGAGATAGTTTTTGAGAGCCTTTGTAGAGAGCTGTTGGAGAACGTTCTTAGTATTAGAGATTCATTAGTTTTCTTAAAGATTATTCTAGTGATTTTAGTTTTCTTGGATTGATTTGAAGCAAGATTTGTGAAGATTCTTTGTATTATCCATTGACGACGGATATCAAATTTCTAAACTTTTCCATTGATTCGCATCAATACAATTGGTATTATTCATTCTTGTTTATTAATCTAGCTTTATTATTCCTTAATCAGAATTTATGTTTAGATCTATGATGTTTATGGAATCTATTATTGCTGTGATTATGAATAAGTGTGAGTAGTTTCCTAGCTAGGGTTTCGGGATGAAACCCGGCCTAGGTAATCTACGCAATTAAGGTTTGATTTTGATAAACGGATTGTGATTAAATTGATTATATGCGATTGCATGTTAATTCATTATAATAGGAGTAGCTAACCTAGAGTCTTGAATTTGATTGCATGTTATTCTTGGTTTGAACAAGAGATTGTGAATTGAGTATTTCATTATTGAATGTGGTTTGATTATGTATCGAGTAATGTTAAGTGCATGAGAAATCCAAGCTTGGTATTGCCCGTTGTCTTCCTATCACACGATATTGATCAGACATATAGTCTTTGCTTATCCCGTTTGTCTCTATGATTCCTTGTTGCGTAGTTACCGATGGTTTGGTGAATTCCCGTTTTCCCTAGTGTCTTAGTTTATTTGGTTTATCCCATCTCATTAGTAGTATTTTAGAACACCATTTTCCATTGATTTCGAACTAGCTTAGGTTTAAGATTGATTTGCAATTACTCTCGTTCCTCGTGGACCGAACCTTTATTTGCCATTGTACTTGGTTATAGGGTGTTCGTATAAGTATTGTTTGATTGAGAGTTAGATTGTAGCGACCGATTCAACCCTTGTCAAAATGGCGCCGTTGCCGGGGAACGGTGTTTGTTGATTGCTTTTTGATTTCTTGAGTCTAGTTCTTCAAACAAAAATACAAAAAGATTTTTCTTTTTGGCTACACTTGTAGCCCTGCTATTTGATTGGTTTGGTTAGTGTGTATGCGCAGGTCTAAACAGGGAGAGTTAATACCCTTCGATCCCGAAATCGAAAGGACTTTGAAGAGAAATCGTAAATCTCGATCGACGTCATCAAACTCTCAAGGAAAGGAATACAACACACAACAGGTTCCAATGACAGACATACCGCGCCAACCTAATCGGCCAGCACCACGACCTCTTAAGGATTTGGGAACTCCTGGGGCGTATAGAGCTTCAAGTGGGATTGCTCCACCCACTACTGAGGCCAATGATTTCGAGATCCGGCCGGCTATGATCACCCTCATCGAGAGAAGGCAGTTTAGTGGTGCCAAGCATGAGATCCCTTTGGCTCATTTGAACGAATTTGAGAAGTACTGCAATACCATCAAGGTTAATGGGGTGAATCAAGAGTTCGTGAGATTGAAGCTTTTCCCCTTTTCACTTTTTGGGAGAGCTCTCGAATGGTTAGAGAAGGAGGTGATGCCGAACTCTCTACACACTTGGGATGATGTCACGACAGCATTCTTGGGAAGATTTTATTCCAAAAGAAGACGGCCGATGCTAGAGCTTTGATCCAGGGATTTCGACAAAGGAATGGGGAGTCAATTTACGAAGCATGGGAAAGGTACAAGGAGTACCAAAGAGAGTGCCCACACCACGGAATCCCAACATACCAAGTTCTACAGATTTTCTATGGAGGATTGAGTCCTCAAGGGAAGACCAGTTTGGATGCGGGAGCAGGTGGCCCCATTATGAACAAAACCGAAGAAGAAGTCATTGATATCATAGAAGATGTGGTACGACACCACATGGATTGGCAAGATGGAGAGCGAGAGGCCACGAGCAAGAGTGGAGGAACGGTCTATTCGGTAGACCATCTTAATGCAATCGGGAATTTGACATCGCAAATTGTAAATCTAGGTAAGGAAATGTCAATTATCAAAGAGAAGCTCGATGCTCCACCGCATCAAAATCTTCCATCCCATTCTAAGGGAGCAGGTATGCACTCTAACTCTAATAATATGCCTGCTGGATGTATATTCTGTGAAAACTGTGGGTCTTATGACCATGATACCTCTGCCTGCAACGTAGATTCCCAATTTCAATCCAACTATAATGATGGTAATGAGTGTGATAATGAACAAGTCAATGCCTTGTCTTATGATAATAGACCTAGGAATGACAATAACAAATATTTACCACCCAATCAAAGAGGGAACAACTATAATCAACAGGGTAATAATTCTGACTACCAACAACAAAACCAGTGGGGAAACAGGAACCAAAGGGACCAAAATCCCCAAGGGTCCTATAATCAACATGGTAATTTTGGTAATCAGAATAATTACCAACAAAATGCAGGTAATCAAAGTAATCAAGGGCAATACAATCAGACCATGAATGCCAATAACATGGGAAACTGGAATAACAATGGTAACAGGAACAACTTCCAAAATCAAAATCCCCAACAGTCCAATGCGCGTGGTTCCCGAGCCTCTAATGAAAACTACAATGCTCAAGGACCATCGCAAAGGACTAGTTTGGAGGAGATGATGGAAGCACAGACCAAAATGTTCAACACTTTCATGGCCACCAGTGACAAAAAGTTTAATG